CAAGGAGGGCGTGCTGGAGAAGCGCAGCGGAGGGCTGCTGCAGCTGTGGAAGCGGAAGCGCTGCGTGCTCACCGAGCGCGGGCTGCAGCTCTTCGAGGCCAAGGGCACCGGCGGCCGGCCCAAGGAACTCAGCTTCGCTCGCATCAAGGCCGTGGAGTGCGTGGAGAGCACCGGGCGCCACATCTACTTCACGCTGGTGACCGAGGGCGGCGGCGAGATCGACTTCCGCTGCCCCCTCGAAGACCCCGGCTGGAACGCCCAGATCACCCTGGGTCTGGTCAAGTTCAAGAACCAGCAGGCCATCCAGACAGTGCGGGCCCGGCAGAGCCTTGGGACTGGGACCCTCGTGTCCTAAAGCACCAGGCGTACCATCTTACCTTCATGCTCCCCGCTACCGTGATGCCCAGAGGTCGTGCCAGGTAAGCCCGCAGGACACTGAGCCTTCTTTCTCTTCTTCCCTTCCTTCTCTTTCCCCTTCCGAGAGAATCGAGTACTCCCACCAGCATTCTACTGCAAGGCTGGGCAACCCTCGGGAAGGTGCCTGGCACCAACAGAGAGTAGGAACCCAGGAGTCTGAGCATAGGAGGCCTGGCCTGTGGCCAAGAGAGCAGAGCTGGACTTTCCTTTGGGGCACCAGGCAGGAGGGTCCTGAATGTGACCCAGGTGTCAGAGAGGAAGATGGGAAGGGGACCCCAGGGTGGGGTGGGATTTCCCACAGGTGGGGTCAGCCCTGACTCAGGTGGAGGGAGGCTGGCCTGCTCATTCCCTAAGGCTGCTGGGCCTCTACCTCCAGCCAGGCCAGGGCTTCTGGACTGTGAGTTTCAGGGAGCTGGGGAGAACCGAAAGTGGGGATGAACACCGAGACCCACCCTCCTCCTGCTAGGATGAACGCCTGTCATAGAGTTTGAACATTGAATGGAGGCAGAAAGACGGTATCTCTCAGTTGGCTAAAGAGTCATCAGGGGTTGGAACAGAGCCAAGGAGTCCCAGCTCCTAAGGTGGGACTGGGCCTGAGGGCTCTACCTACCCATTTTTGACAGTGTGTTTTGGGTCCTAGGGCTGAACTGTTCGGAGAACTGGGGAGGTGGAGGAAGGTCGAGCCAGGCCAGAAGCCAAGCCCCTGATGCCAAAGGCAGTGGGCTCTTCTGTCCGGCTGCCCATGAGTGCCAGCCAAGTCCTGGCCCAGAGGAGCAGAAGCTGGAGGAGGGGATGGGGCTGATGCAGGGTGGGTGGATGGGTGGGTGCAGGATGGGGTCATGAGTGTTATTTGTGATGTCTTAATCCTCCTTGAGCAGTAGAGGAGGGGGTGGGGGTGGGGGCGGACTTGTGGTCAGGAAAGCCCAGGGCAGGGGCCAGGAATAGAACCTAGAAGCCCTGGCTCTAAGCCCTGTGCCCTCTTCCCCAGATGCCACTCCCTCCCCATGGGAACCAGGAGCAGGGTTGAGGAAGGATTTATAGCACTCTAGTCTTCTCTGGTGGGCAACTAGAGCCCCTTGCCCCTACTACCACCTCCCATACTGCCTCACCCGCCTTGTCCTGCGTCTTGTCCGGATCAGCAAGTAGAGAGCCCCAGCGAGCCTGGCGCCCAACTTACCGCCATGCCCCCCGCCCCCCCCGCCCTTTGATCCTCCTGCTGACTCCCTCCCATGCAGTAGTGAGGGTTAGCTGAGAGGCTGGGTGTAGGGTGGACCTGCTGTGCTGAAAATTGATCTGCATTGATCCCTCAGGCCTCAGGGGGCTGAAGAAGCAGATTCCTCCATTGACCACCGTGTTTTGTACTAATACAGTCGTGTGGCACATGAGCTTTCTGTCAACAGCAGACTGCATATTCAACAGTGGTCCCATAAGATTATAACAGCGTGTTTGTACTGTACTCTTTCTATGTTTAGATATATTTAGATACGCACATACTTACCATTGTGTGTAGTTGCCTACAGCATTCAATACAGTAAAGTGCTGCACAGGTGTGTGGCCTAGGAGCCACAGGCTGTGCCATGTAGCCTAGGTGTGCAGTAGGCTATGCCGTCCAGGTTTGTGTAAGTGCACTCTGTGATCACACAACAACGAAATCACCTAATGATGCATTTCTCAGAATGTGTCTCTGTTGGTAGATGCATGACTGTATTATTTCTGTGTTTGTCATCATGTGGAAAAGGTTGGGACGGTCTAGTGTAAACAGCTCATTCATGGCAGATGTCTTTACCTCAGTGCTTTCCTTGCTCTGACTGCTGTTCTTTTTTCCAGCTTCCTTGCTCCTTGGGCTCATGTGGCAAGGCGGAAGCCATGGACATGTGGAGGTGGCATCAGAGCTGAAGGAATGGATGGGGCACAGGGAAGAGGGCAGAAGGCCATGTGGGGCTGAGGATGAAGATTCAGCCCCTGGACACTCTCAGATTCTCAGGACATATCCAGCTCAGGGTCTTCTAGCCTCAGGCCTGGACTTATGGGTCATGATGGAGAGCTGGCATCAAAGCCCCCCTCCCTGCTGTGGTCCTGTCATCTGTTCTGCAGACTGCTGTTAGCCCCTGGCTTGTGCTATGCCTGGAAGAGGGCTGTCCCCCATGGGGTGCTAAGCCAATGCCTCAGGACTCAGGAAGCGAGCCTGGTACTGAGAGGAGAAACCACCCTGGGATGGCCCCTGGACTCACCTTGAGGAGAGAAGAGCTGCTGGGCCCAAGGCCCAAACCTGGGGGTCTCCTGCTGCTTAGGTCTTTTTGGGACCCCCACCCATCCAGGCCTTCTTTTGCACACTTCTTCCCCCACCTTCTACCCATCTTCCCCCCACTGCAGTGCTAGGCCTGGAGTTGGTGGGGGTGGGGGTTTGGCCATTACCATTTCATGCCTATCCCAAAATGAAGATGCCCTGCAAAGGGCAGTAACCACACTGTTTGCTGAGTGAAATTCTTTGCCCACAAAGACCTAGGACTTGGAGCATCGCTCTCTACCGCCACCTTCCCAATCTATAGCCCATTCTGAAATCACTGGCCTGGGTAGTCGGAGACACTGCAACCCCAGTAGACATGGCCTCAGTGGTCCAGGAAGGAGGGGCCAGAGGGCCTGGACTGGATGTCACACTGGCCAGCTCAGTCTCTATAGATGCCTCTTCTGTGGACGGTTACCCTGCCCCTGCTATCCTGGAAGGTGGTTCAGCTTTCTGGACAGAGCTTGTCTCTCTGTCATTTATACATTCAGGCTGAATACATTTGTATAGTCAGTCTTCCTTACTGGATTGTTATAAAGGAGTAATTTCAACACAGGGGAAACTGAGGTACGGAGAAATAGCTGCCCTGAGTTACACAGAAACTATTGATTGGGTAACCCCCGAGTCCTTTCC